ATCCACCTGCCTTGGCCTCCCAAAGTGCTGAGATTACAGGCGTAAGCCACCACACCCAGCCCCACTCACACATTTAAAGTGCACAATTCAATGGTTTGCAGCACATTCACTGATGGTACAATTATCACCTCAATCAACTTTAGAACAGTTTTACCACCTCAAAAAGAAATCCCATATCCATGAGCAGTCAGTCCTCATTTTCGCCCAACAAACCCCCACCCCCAGCCTTAGGCAACCAGTAATGCATCTTCTCTCCTATATATTTGCCTATTCTAGACTTTTCACATAAATGGAATCATATGACATGATACGTGGTCTTTGTGTTTGGCTTCTTTCACTTGGCAAGATGTCTTCAACATTCACCCATATTACAATATCCGTACTTCCTTCTTTTTTATTGCTGAATAATGTTCCAGTGTACGGATATACCAGATTTTACTTATCCATTCATCGGATGATGAGCATTTAGGTTATTTATGATATTTGGCTATTATGAATAATGCTGCTATGAACATTCACTCACAAATTTTTGTGTAGACGTATGTTTTCATGTCTACCGGGACTATACCTTAGAGTGGAATGGTTGGGTCATATCTTAGCCCTGTGTTTAACTTTTGAGGAACTACCCGACTATTTTCCAGAGTGGCTGCACTATTTTACATTTCCACCAGCAGTGTAAGAGGGTTCCAATTTCTTCACATCCTCACCAACACTTGTTAATTATTTTTTAAATTACAGCAATCCTAGGGGATATTCAGTGGTATCTCACTGTAGTTTCACACTGACTCTTGAAATCCATTATTTCATGTAGTCCAAAACCATCCCAAAAAAATTATGAAATACCTGATAGGGTTGCAGTTTTCCAGCTTTCTTGTGTCAAAAATACACACATATTAAGATGGTGCCGGGCCTTAAAAACCTACCGTCTACCTGTAAAGACAATGCTAATACAAACAAAAATGAAGACTTCATGTATTTTCAAAAAGAGGAATCAGGGCTGGGTGCGGTGGCTCACACCTGAAATCTCAACACTTTGAAAGGCCAAGGTGGGAAGATCACTTGAGCCCAGAAGTTTGAGACCTGCCTGGGCCAATTAGCCAGGCACTGGGCATAGTGGTGCATGCCTATGATTCCAGCTACTTGGGAAGCTGAGGTGGGAAAATTGCTTGAACCTGGGAGGTCGAGGCTGCAGTGAGCTGAGATGGCACCACGGCACGCCAGCCTGGGCAACAGAGTGAGACCCTGTCTCAAAAAAATAAAAATAAAAAAAATACAAGAGGGATGATGAGGAATGACTTGAGCTTTCAGATAGCAAAACATTCATGAAGTATGGATACTCCCCAACGCAGATGCATCCAGCTCCAGCTGCTGGCGTATGGGCTGCTAACAGCTACCTTCACAGGGTTCTGCTTTCCCCAGGATTATGCCCCTTCGGGAGAGTGCCCGTGGGACCGTAACTGGCTTATAGGGGATACAAAGTTCTGGTCCCCCTGTCTCAAATTAGAACAACTCTGAAGGACCAGCCCCATCCATGGCCCCCCAAAGGATCAGCAGAAGCCTTCATTAAAACAGCATTGCATTGGCCTCTCTCTATGCCCATTCCAGTCATCCTCATCTGCTGACAGGTGTATCTTACAAAAGAACTCCCTAACAAACTTCTGCACACATCTCTCCATCTCAGAGTCTGTTTCCAGGAAACACAAGTTTAAAAAAAAAAAAAAAAAGTATTATTTATAGCGATTACAACAATGTGCCACTGACACAGGCATGAACACCCCAGAAAAAGGCCCATCTGTATGTAAGAATGACATTTTCACATCAGTTGTGGACAACTAGATCATTCAATAAAGGCTGCTGAAATAACTAGCTAACTAAGGGGTGGAAGCCAGGATGGGGATGAGGCTAAGGAGGATGTTGAATAGTTATATCACACACACCAAAATAAATTCTACAGACATTGCAGAAGAAAATAAACTGTTACAGACTTTAAATTTTTTTAATTATGTATTTGGGGAAGGGTGATGGCTTGTTTCATCAAAAACAAAAACATCGTGAAGGGAAAGGAGGACAGATTTATATCAAGAAAATAATGTGAAATAAGCAAAAGAAAAAATAAATTTAGTGAAGTATGGTGAAAACCTACTCCAACACCAAGGGAAGCTTGTGCAGCCAGACCACAGAGTCCAGATGTGGACCGCACGATTTAAATCACTATGCCCTAGCTGCAGTTTGGCACCACCTGCTGTCTGCTATCTTATCTGTCTAAAATCAAGAGGATTTGGGGATTTGCAGATTTCCAAGAAAGCAGCAGTTCCAGGAATGGGCAGCCTGTTCAGTTGCCCTGACTCATCCTCAGCCTCCCCATTCCCCCATCTTCTCCCTAGCCACCCCATCCGCCTGCCCACCTGCCATATATCCCCCCCAACACTCCAGAGGATAAGAACTTTAGCCTACCCTCTTTGGGGCTGCAGGTAGAATGGAAGCCAACAGCCGATCACTTTAAGTCTAGATTTTCAGCAATGCCACATGGTACCCAGGGTTTTCACTGCACTTGTCATATACAGCCATCCAAGAGCTGATGTCCCCAATATATAAACTCAGGAACAGAGACAACCCTATCAGTAAGAAATGGATACATGATACACACAAGAAATTCATAAAGTACGAATCGCCAACAAACATTAAAAAGTGATGATGTCCAACATCTCTTGTAATCAAAGAAAGGCAAATTAAAATAATGAGATGCCATGTTCAGCATCAAAACAGGCCCAATTTGTTTAATAACAATAAATACCTATTTTAGCCAGGGTGTAGGGAAAAGTCACTAATACTTTGCTGGATGGAGTGTAAACTAGCAAAACCTTTAAGAAAACAATTCAGCAACAGGTATCAAAAGCCTTTTTAAGAAAAGAGCATATCCTTAGAGCCAGCAGTTTCATTTCTAGGAATTTATTCTTACATAATTAATTATTAATATATGTGTACTCCTCTCAGCTGTTTACTATAGTGAAACGTTAGCTATAATAAAATATTCAACAATGAAGAGTCAATAGGCTAAGTTATGAAGCACCCATCAAAGTCCATCAAAGGACGGTCACACAGCCACTAAGAATGTTCAAGTTCATGTATTGACCTAAAAAGATGTCAATGGTCTATTGAGAAATAAAAACCAGAGTTTTAAGACAATATGTACAGTATGATTCACTTTTATAAGAACATAATTACATGTATATTAACACTGTATGTGTTAGTCTGTTCTCACACTGCTGTAAAGAAATATCCGAGACTGGCTAATTTGTAAAGAAAAAAGGTTTAATTGGCTTACGGTTCTACAGGCTGCACAGGAAGCATAGCAGCTCCTGCTTCTGGAGAATCCTCAGAAAACTTACAATCATGGCGGAAGGTGGAGGGGAAGCTGGTATGTCTCACGTGACCAGAATGGGAGGGACATGGGGCAGGGAGGTGCCACACACCTTTAAACAATCACATTTCACAAGAACTCACTATCACAGTAACAGCACCTGGGGGAGGGATGGTGTTAAACTGTGAGAAACTGCCCCCCGCGCAATGATCCAATCACCTTCTACCAGGCCCCACCTTCAGCATCAGGGATTCCATTTCACCATGAGATTTGAATAGGGACACAGGCCCAAACCATATCACTGTACTTACTGGTTTTTTGTTTTTTTTTTTTTTAAAAAGCAAAACCAATATACATCCAATGTTAACAGTGACTATTTTGGGATAGTGAAGTTATGAGTGATCTTTATTTCCTGCTGCTTGTTTACACACATTTTCTCATTTTTCTGAAATAAACTGTAGAACTTGTAAAATTTAAAAATCTTTAAAGATAAACCATCTGTATGTTTAAATTTTTTTAAATGAATACTCTCCATTTTGTTTTGTTTTGTTTTGTTTTGTTGTGTTTGAGATGGTGTCTCACTCTGTCACCCAGGCTGGAGTGCAGTGGCAAGATCTCAGCTCACTGCAACCTCCACCTCCCCAGTTCAAGCAATTCTCCTGCCTCAGCCTCCCGAGTAGCTGGGACTACAGGCACGTGACACCACACCAAGCTAATTTTTTGTATTTTCAGTAGAGACGGGGTTTCACCGTGTTAGCCAGGATGGTCTCGATCTCCTGACCTCATGATCCACCCACCTCGGTCTCCCAAAGTGCTGGGATTACAGGCGCGAGCCACCACGCCCGGCCTCTCCTTTTTTATTGTCAAAGAAAAATACAAGAAGGACCAAGCGATAAGTAATGTGGTAGAAACTGTAAGAATAATAAGAAAAAAAAAATATGGGGGGAGAAGGAAAAACTGGTAAATTAAGGATTGGAGTGTTCCAGAAGAGATAGCCCTTGAAAAGTGGTAAAATTTGCATACATAAAAAGAACAGAATACGGTGTGATTTGAGGCCTTGCTCCAAGATCAGTCACATCAAAAGTACTTCTAGAAACATCTAGTCACCTCCAATGAATGGGTCACAAGTTTGTACCTAAAGATCATCCATTAATCCTCGTTAGAAATATGTGCTTGTGTCCACTCTACACACAGAAAGGTAATGGTAGGTCCTGGACTTGCTGTTGAATGCCACTGTGGGAAGGACACGGGCTTACCTGGCACCCTTCAACCAAGGTTTCCTGGGCACCTGGTTTCTCCGTCTCC